AGTAGAGGTGTTTACTTCACATAACTCAAAGATCTTGGAGAGCCAACAGAGTGAATAGTTTTGAAAACACCAGAGATGCCTCCAACCAGCCACCAAATGGAAATCTAAGGAAGACTCACCAAACAGATAAAGACAGCTTCTTCCAAGCACTTTCCAACCAAAGCCTAACACTGAACAAAGAACACTTACATTTATATAAACACAGAAAACAGGCACATTCACACACAGTGGACACTGGGAGAAAACCAGCCTCTCAGGAGAAAGAGACCAAGCTGGGCACTAAGGACAAATAGTTCTACTGTTAGAGTCTGTAAACAAGTCAATATGGCACCTGGCATTTTGCAGAGAGAGTGGTTTGTGAAGTAACACCAGCGGGCCATTAAGTGTGGAGATTCCTTATTGGTTGACTGCTGTATCTAGTTTATGTTAATTAAGATAAGCTGTGTGGAATGTATAAATACCTCTATTGTCCTACAATAAAGGGCTCCACTCCTTCTGTATCAATCTACACAAGTTCCTTGTCACCCCCCGGTTATTTTGCTGCAGCCGGACTGCGGCATCCTACTAAGTTTTTCTGGTATGTAGAAAACTAAATTAATACAGGATTTTGGTAAATCAAGATTATATAATATATATCATTTTTGCAATTTGCTTTTTTCCCATGTAATCATGCCACATGGGCAACTGTTCATTTATAGCTCTGCCAAAATCTTGGAATAATTCCATATTAAAAGATAGTTGGAGACATATAGATATGGTATAATATAAAACTATTTAAAAGAAAACTGTCTAGAATGAATTGGACATAACTTTCCTACAATCATATATGAATACATAACCAGTGTAATTCCACATCATGTACAACCACAAGAATGGGAAATTATACTCTATGTATGTATAATATGTCAAAATATACTCTATGATCAGGTATATCTAAAGAGGAAAAAAATTTAAAAAGTATTGTTTCCTAAAAAAAAAAGAACAACTGTCTGATGTTCTCTAAAAGTGAAAAGAATAAGAAAGAGTCAAAGTGCTAAGCTCTCAGTAAATGCAGTCCTATGGGGCCCAACGGGGAAGTCATGAGCCAATCCTGCTCAAAGCCCAAAGCGCTCAGGAGAAGATGTGTATTTTACTCCCCACAGACCTATATTTTTGTAGAGATAATTAAGGCTCATTTATATTGAAGAAGGTCATTCATATAAAACACTGAAACTTAACCCCTGGTAGATTTTCTTACCTACTATTCCAGGTAAAAGAACACAATTTATCATTATCAGTATTGTCAAATTTTATTTTATTTTATTTTATTTTTTTAGCTGTAAATGGACACAATACAATGCCTTTATTTTTATGGGTGCTGAGGATCGAACCCAGGTCTGGCCCATGCTGGGCGAGCACTCTACCGCTGAGCCACAATCCCAGCCCTATTGTCAAATTTTAAACAAAACTTTGGGAAGATACTGCTCTGTGTCTGGGAGGCAACCAATATATCAGAAAGGCACTGGTTTCCAGGTGGTCATTTGTGACATCTGCAAGTTACACATATATACTGATAGACTTTCTAACTTTTTAACCGAGAAGTTAAATGTCAAATTTAATGGTTTTTATTGACTTGTTTCAGAGAACAATAATCAAAAGAATTAATTCCTAACCAGATTAGTTTTAAGTGCTCAAGGATTAAATTGTAATCAGTATTCAATCACATTATTATACCTTTCTCCACAATGAATAAGTAATCCTGAAGGTTAGCTTCTGTTATTTCTAGGTATATATTTTATTCTACAATTACTTTAAAAATAAATAAAATCTGTCTTATAGTTAAAATGGCACTTAAAGAAAAGATTAAAAAAAAAGAGCCCATTTGCACTGTGAAAATATATTTACAAAACTAAGAGAACATTTCAAAAAGGTGAAATATAAGCCAGTTTTAAATAACAGGTCGTTTTGGTATTGTTCATTGTGGTCATGTGGCCAAAGGATAAAAATGTGCCTGAAACTGATTTAGAAATTGTGGATTGCTATGTGCAAATGTGTCTGTCATTGTTACTGCTGAACACCATGCACCAACAGGAGACCACCTAGACTACACCCAGACCTAAGCATAAGAGCTATAACTACACCTAGGCATGGTAGCACATACTTGTAATCCCACTGATGCAGGAGGCTGATACAGGGGTGGCACCAGTTGGAGACCAGCCTCAGCAACTTAGTGAGGCCCTAAGCAATTTAGCAAGACCCCGTCTTGAAACAAAAATTAAAAGGGCTGGGGATGTGGCTCAGTGGTTACATACCCCTGGGTTCATCCCTAGTGTCAAAAAATGAAAAAACAAAAAGAAGAAAAAGAAGAGGAATACAAATAGCTAACAAGCACATGAAAAGACTACTCGCCATCTTAGCTATTCAGGAAAGGCAAATTAAAGTCACAAAGACACCACTATAACTCAGTAAGATGTGTTGATTAAACTATGAGTTGGTGGGGACCAAGAAACACTGCTCACTCTCATACATTGCTGGTGGTGTAGCCACTTTGGAAAACAGTTCAGCAGTTCCGCAAAAGGTCAGAGGTACCATAAGACCCAGCAATTTTACTCCCTGGGATATAGCAGAAAGAACTGAAAACCTGTATCCATGTGAAAACCTGGGCACAGATGTTCACAGCACTATTATTCATGATAGCCAACAAGTATGAAACAACTCAAATGTCTACCAAAGAGACTGGAAAACAAAATGTGGTAGACACTTACCATGGAATATCAAACAGTAATTAAAGGAATGAATTACCAACACACACTACAACACAGACAGACCTGAAAAGCATTATGTAAAATGAAAGAAGCTAATAATAAAAGACCACATGTTATATAATTCCACTTACACGAAATGTCCAAAACAAGTAAATCCATAGAGATAGATTGATTAGTGGTTGTCAGGGTTAAAGTTTGGGGGAATGGAGATCACTGCTGACAAGTATTGAATTTCTTCTAGAGATGAATAAAATGCTTTAAAAATGAGATTGTGGGGATAGCTGCATAATTCTTTCAATATACTAAATTGTTTAATAGTAAACTTTGGGTGAATTTTACTCTGTGTAAATAAAGCTCCATAAGCTGGAGAAGATGAAGAGGATGAGGAGAGGTGAGAGCTATTGTGGCTGTGTTCATGCTTTAAGAGTTTGAGAGCCAGTGGTGCTGGTGGTACACCACACCCGAAATCCCAGCCACTTGGAAGGCTGAGGCGGGTGGATCACAAGTCCAAATCCAGCCTGGACAATTTAGTGAAACCCTACCTCAAATTTTTAAAAAATACAAAGGGCTGGGGATGTAGCTCAGGGATAAAGTGCCCCTAGGTCCAATCTCCAGTAATACAAACACACACACACACACACACACACACAAAGAGTTTGAGAGGCAAGGTGCCAAAAGTTACACAAGGGATTTCATGCAAGTTTTTAAATGGATTCCTATCCTTTAAATCTACCATTCTTTAACTTTTTATTTGCCTTAATTTCTACAGGTATACAGAGTTATGTAGGAAATACGCTCAATAATTAGGGAAAATCAGGCTGGTAGTGAGCAAATGGCTGCCTTGGGCTTTGTTTTTTGTAATTTCCTCATAGAGTATCTCAGAGACAAGATAGTTTTATGTCTGATTTTTTCTGTACCAAATAGAGAATGTGGTACACACTTGGTACCAGCTCATTGTTGAATAAATAAATATCCCTGTAATATGATGCAGGACAAAGAAAACGAATCAAAGTAGGCAAACATAAAATGTTCAAAACATTTAGAAAAACAAGAGACGAAACCTAGGCCTACCAAGTTGAATTAAAATGGTGAAAAATAATATTCCTTAAAAAATAAATACACCTATAAAGCAAAAGAAAAGGTTAATCACAGTAGCAAACTGTAGAAGATAAGAACACTATCTTAGGAATCCTTCCTTTAGCCAAAATTACCAAAGTACCTATGGCATGCAAGACACTGGCTAATGTGCTAGAGAGAGAGTGACAAACACTTTGTTTTAATGTACAGTAGACATAAATAGCAAATTTAACAATTTAAAGTAGTGATGAGCATTATAAAAACAATTAAATGAATACAGGGAGAAGAAAATGCCTGAAAGGTGGCTGTAAAGAGGGTGGCCACAGAACAGCCATCTGACAATCGCGTGCATAAACACTGCCAGTAGGTTTCTAAACCTAGGGGTACATAATACAATCAGAAAATTTAGGAGAAAAAGATTGCATTTTCACCCAAAAATAAACTATAAATTAAAATAATTCACTGTTTTTGAAATCATCCATTCCTATATAAATGTGCAAAAAATAAAACCTGTTTGCCGTTAGTATTTTACCTAATTCATGAATCTGTTTATGACAAACTGAACTAGAAGTAAATGAATATCCTAAGACTCTCAAGGACTAAACTATGGGCTAAATCACTTCAATAAAATAAAATGGTAGAAAATTATTTACCCATCATACACAAGAATGTACTCAAAAACACATTTTGACAAAAGCATACATGGCATTAGCTGCCAGTCTTCTCAGAGCATGCAAACCCAAGTAAAAATGACACTGACAAGAACTCCATCATTACTTTGATCAGATATTTTATCCTCCCAAAAAAAAAAGCAAAAGAGACGAATAAACAAATACACAAAATTGCAACAAGAGGTTCCACGTTTAACTGTATTTCTAAGCTCCTTGGACCTCAATCTCTACGGCATGAAACAGATGTAAATCGAGTATGGTGCAAGCAGTGCATATAAATCCACAAACGAAACAGCTCAACTTGAGTAAAAAGTAAGGTTTCTTCCTTTCCTATTGTCTATTCACCTAAGATTAAACAGTGTCAAAGGGAAAAAAAAAGTTAGCATCACTTCTACTACAAGTATTTATTAATATTCTATCCATAACTTTCAGACACTTACACAAATCAGCCAGGAAAAAAAAAAAATGAAGAACTACAGGAAATTTAAAGCATCAAGAATCCACTAACCTTAATCCATTGAACAGCTGCTTGGATTTATCCAGAAGATAACAAAAATCTGTGACTGTTTTCCTCTCTCCCTGTGGGATATCATCTTCAGCACCTCCAGAGGACATGATTTCTTTAAGGGCAAATTCAGTCCTGTAAGAAAACATATGTTCATTTACCCTGTGAGTAAAAATAAAAACCGAAGCAAAACTTAGCTATATTATTTGATAGGATTTTTTTCCCAAGATAGATATAGAATTCTTCTGATTATACTCAGATCACCAATATAATCTTATAAGATGGACCACCGCGGCCTGGAGATCAGGAGGAGAGGCCCTCCCAGAGCCCAGAGATCCACAGTGAGCCACCCTGTGCTGGGGTTCCTTATTCACCAAAGCCTGGCTCCACAGCCCAACATCAGGATACATATAGGCTTGAGGCTGCCACCTTAAACTGGGATATCGCTGCTTCTATCAAGGGATAACAATAAGTACCTGGTAAGACATCACCAAGGTCCCTGTGGGCCTGGCTGCACCTAATATCTCTACTACAGGTGCTAATAGCTATCCTGTTGCTGAGGTAACAGGGGGTCTTGCGTAGGGTTGCCTATCTCGTTTCTCCTACGAACAGTCAACTTCTTATGATTACCCTCTCACTAGTCATATAATCTAATACCTCCATATTCTCATATTCTACCTCATAAACATCTCAGCCAACCTCCTAGCCCCTGCTTCTACCATTAGAAACTGTAAACCATTACGCAGACCTATTGATTATAAGGTAGAAGATAACCGAACTCATCATTTCTGATTATAGTGACAAAACTGTAAATATAAAAATAGAAGCTAAATGATATATGGCTGCATGTTGGGCACACTGAGTGCTGTAACATTGATCTCTCTCTTAAAAATGGGATATTGGTATAGGGACACTATAAGACAATGAGGCAGAAGCTGTAATACCTCAGATCACACAGCAAGAGACGAAGATTCATAGACATCATGAAAAAACAAGGGAGGAAAGTGCCTCAAACAAACCAAGATACTACAACAATTGAATGCATAGACAGCAGAGAAGGTGAACCATCAGAGAAGGAGTTCAGAATATACATAACTAAAATGATTTGGAAATTAAAGAATGACCTAAGGGAGCAGATACAGGCAAAAATTGATCATCCAACAAAGAGACAAGAGAACAAACACAGGTTGCAAGAGATTACTTCAAGAAAGAGATATTGAAAAAAAAACAAACAGAAATCTTTTGAAATGAAAGAAACAATAAGCCAATTAAAAAACTCAATAGATAGCATCACCAACTGACTAAATCACTTGGAAATCAGGACCTTAGATAATGAAGACAAAATATACAATCTTGAAAATAAAGCTGACCTCACAGTGAAGATAGTAAAAAACCATGAACAGAATACCCAAGAATTATGATACCATCAAAAGACCAAATTTAAGATATACTGGGATAGAGGAAAGTTCAGAGATTCAAACCAAAGAAATGCACAATCTCTTTAATGAAATAATAGCAGAAAATTTCCCAAGCATGAAGAATGGACTAGGAAAATCAAATACAAGAGGTCTAATAAGACAAATGTACAAAATTACAACAGATCTACATCAAGACACATTATAATGAAAATACCTAGCATACAGAATACAGATAGCATTTTAAAGGCCACAAGAGAGAAAAATCAGATTACCTATAAGGGAAGACCAATTCTGATCTCAGCAGATTTTTCAATCCAGACTCTCAAAGCTAGGAGATCCTGGAACTACATATACCAAGCTCTAAAAGATAATGGATGCTAACTAAGAATCTTATATCCAGCAAAGTTAAGCTTCAAAATGGACGATTAAATAAAAACTTTCAATGACAAACAAAAGCTAAAAAAAATTACAGCAAGAAAGCCTGCACTATAGAACATTCTTGGCAAAATATTCCACAAGAAGGAAATGAAAAACAAGAATGATATCTGCAAAGCGAAGAACTACAATAAAGGAAAAGCCAACCAAAGGAGAAACAAAGTCAAGCTAAACAACAAAAACGACCAGTAATTCATTTTATGTCTCTTTCAATCCTTTTGGATAAATTCTTACACATAAAAATTTTAACTACAATATCATCTAATTTTTCAGGGTTTTGTTTATTTTGCATTTTTTTTGTTTTCCATTTCTCTTCACAAAGTTACACAAATATTTTCTTTAAAAGTTTTAGAACAATGGGCGGCGCCAGCGCCCGGGCGCTGGGCCCGAGCTGAGGCCGGGGCGTCGCTGCCGACTGTCCATAGCATGAGCAGGGCCGGGGTCCCCAGCCCGCCGCGGGGCTGGGGCTGTGAAGGCCGCGGTTCCAGACTGAAGTTGCTGCCTCTGGCTAGGCCAGATACCTATATTATATAATATAGGAGTTTCATGGAGCTGGAGGGGCAGTGGTGGCGAGGACAACTGGCTGCTGATATTCACCAAGCGCTTCGGTACAAGGAGCTGAAGTTGCCCTCCTACAAAGGCCAGTCCCCTCAACTAAGTCTCAGAAGGTATTTTGCTGATTTGATTGCCATTGTGAGCAATCGCTTCACACTCTGCCCTTGCTGTCTATTTGCTGGACCTGTTTATGGATCGCTATGACATCTCTATCCAGCAGCTGCATTTAGTTGCGCTTTCCTGTCTGCTTCTAGCAAGTAAATTTGAAGAAAAAGAAGCTGGAGCAGCTCAACAGCCTGGGTTGTATGACTAATATGAATCTAGTATTAACAAACAAAATTTGCTACATATGGAACTATTATTATTAGAAACCTTTCAGTGGAACCTCTGCCTTCCAACAGCTGCCCACTTTATAGAGTATTATCTCTCAGAAGCAGTACATGAAACAGATCTTCATGATGGCTGGCCAATGATTTGCTTGGAAAAAAACTAAACTCTACATGGCCAAATATGCAGATTACTTCCTGGAAGTATCTCTGCAAGATTATGCCTTTCTAAATTATGCACCTTCTTTAGTAGCTGCTGCATGTGTGGCTTCTTCAAGGATTATACTTTGTCTTTCTCCAACGAGGCCTACAAGACTACATCGTCTTAACTGCTTACTCCTGGGATTTCTTAGTGCAGTGTATTGAACGACTGCTGATTGCTCATGATAATGATGTAAAAGAAGCAAACAAACAGAGAGGACAGGCAGGCCCTCAGTCAGCACAACTAGGTGTGTTCCAGACAGCCTCCCAGCCCTCACGGCCAGTCCATTTTCAGCAGCCTCAGTATCTCCCTCAGACTCAGCAGACCTCATTGCAATATCGCCATCCTGTATCAGAACAACCAAGCTGTCAGCAGATTGTATCTACCACACACACCTCGTCTTACACACTACAGACATGTCCTGCTGGCTTCCAAACTAGTGTCAGGGCCTTGGGCACATACAGACTGGTGTTGGGATGTCCCTAGCAAAACCAGTAGAAGTTAAACCCTGTCTGAGTGTTTCTTATAACCGGAGTTACCAGATAAATGAACATTATCCTTGTATTACCCCATGCTTTGAAAGGTGATTATGTGCAAAGGCAGTAACCAACCCAGACTGTCTTGTGACTTGAAGCTCTGGGACAAACTTTGTAAACTTCTCTTCAGAAGGAAAGGGATCTACCAGAAGACTGAATATCCCTTTCAGTGCACCATTAATATCTAGGAGGACTAAGCAAACACTTAATAGTGTGTGTCAAATCCTGTTACAAAATCCTGTGTGACAGATATGTTCAGGCCTGGCTGATGGTCCAAATATTTCAAATATTTTCAATACAACAACAAATTTGGACAGACTCCAATTTGCCATTTTGAGGTTTGACCTGTGGTAGGCTCTGGGTCTTATGTTGACTTATATGTCAAAGACTATAAAGATTATCTGGGGACTTGCCAAACCGTCTTCTATGAAGGAAAGTTACAGTATTAATTTTTGAAGAGATCTTTTGTTTATTCTGCAGTTTTGAGTTGTTTTGTTTTGTTTTGTTTACCTACAGATTAATTTCTGACTAAGGTTAAACTCATGAATTGATATGCTATACCAATCTGTGCGGTAAAAATTTTTTTCAGATGATTCTGTATAACTTCCTATCATAAATAATATAGGTATCTGAATTTATGTACTAAATTTAGGGGTGGAGTAGATCCCATGTCTTGAAATCATGGTCATAACTTTTGTGTGATTGCTTGCTTGTTTGTTTTTTCCCCTAAGTGTTCAGCCTCAACTCTTTAGAATTAAAACACATTAACTCAGGGAATTTGTACTACTTGGAAACATTTAACTTAATGCAACATGCTTTGGGAATGTTATAGTATGAACAACCTTTATAACATAGATTAAATACTCCTATGCTAAAATATGTTTTCCAATGAGAACTTAATATTGTAGCACAGAATGAATGAAGTGGTGGTTCCTATGATTCATAACATGTATACAGGTTTTGCATTTCTCAGTGCAATCAATGATTTATATTCAGATTTGAGAATACTCTTAGGAAAAAGGTTTTTTTTCAAAGGAAGACATAACTGTAAAATATCAGTACTAGAATAAAGTCCCATAGATTTATTTTGGAGTGGGGAGTGGCCAGGGTAGTACTCAGGTTGTGCTAGTGCAGCACTTTGTTATGTGGAAGACAGGTTTTATAAGCAACCATGGAATCCAGCTAGTTGGTCTAAACAGACAAGAGTACTGATTTCTAAATTTCAGTAGCTGCTTTCATTAGGTTGGGCCCACAACTGCCCTGGCATATTTCACTGTACTCATGATGAGTGAAAACACAATAATAGTCATGTTAGCAAGGGCAACTTGGGAGAAAATGTTTTGGGGGAATAAACTTAAAAAGTAAAAAATAATAATAACGAATAAACTGTATACATTACTCTCTTGTTAGTGGGAGAAGAGAGATTTGGTGGAGGGATGCTTTCTGGTTTAAAAATTATTAAGGTGTGTCTATTTGTGTTTTTTTAAGGATAGCACTTGAATAGAGGGCATCTGCATGGCAGATATGCAACCACCACAATGTGCATTGAAGACAAACATAATGATATTGTGGGTATACAGCAGGAGTCTCAGTAATCAAGCCAATGGCCTTTGTGAGGAAGGGAAGGGGCTCAACACAGCAAAGAACTGATCCAAATGGCTCT